TTTTTTTTTTTTTTTTTTTTGTCTGAGGTGGTTCATTCACATTGGAAGATTGCTTTCCATTGTTTTTTTCTTTTCAATTTACAGTTTCCTGATGATTGTGGCCTGTTTGAATGGATTGATCTCGATTTGCCGCCGTTTCAAAAAGGTTGTTTTAACAAGCTTAAAGCTGAAAAGGAAAGGTTACATGAGCAACTAATGTGCAAAAATGTAATGGAGACACTACTATCCGAGAGGTTGGAGTTAAAAACTACCGATAAAAATGCATTGGAAGCTGCGAACAAGGATTTGATGAACACTTTGGAGATTGCAGTAACAAAGAATGTTGAAATGCAGGTCAAACTTGATGATGTTGCGTGTGAAGTCAAAAGTTTGAAGAAGAAACTCGTATATATGAAATATATGTTCTGGTTCGTTCTTTGCTTTGTTGCAGTCTGTTGGTTTTTTTTTTTAAGGTTGGATAGAATGATCGATGAAGATGATGTTGGATTCTTGACCATTTATTTCCATTTTCTGTATTGTTGTTGCATTGTGGTCCTAATACCTCTTGTTTTGTGTAATAACTCATATTTTGTAGACCTTCTTCAATGCCATTTTAATTAATCATCGTTTTTCAGAAATTACATGATATGACAATTCAGTGGTCAAAATATTCCGATTTGAAATGAAATGATACGACTATTCATTGCAGGAGGTGTGACCTTTTCTGCAAAGGTGAACCAGCTTTTCTGCAAAGCTGAATTGATCATAGTTGCTTTCGAGAGCATGCGTACAAGACTAAAAAGCAACCATATCAATGCCTGCACAAATTTGGTCAAAAGATTAAAACAGGAAGTGACATGATATGACCAATCACTGCACATCTATAGGTTTCAGCCTTTATGCTGCACAGGTCGGTTGATTAGAAATCACATATATGCATACCATGTGATGAATTATTGGATATGAAGCATGATATCTGCTTATTTAAACTCCACACATCACACCAAAGTAATCCACAAGATGGAAAAAGAATTAATACACAAAAATTTGTTATTTGGTCTAGAATTTGTGATGGCTCCTAGTTTTGGTGTCGTACAAGCCGACTATTTGTACGACCTCTATTGGACCCCAAAGCTGGATGAGTTTTTAATCGATTTTTTGGTTGAGGAGAAGCTTGTTGGTCTGTTTGTTCCGTTTGAAATTAATAGTGAAAGAATTTGTCAGGCTACCAAGTCTATCAGTGCGTGGTTTGGCAAAAGTTTCACTGCAGATTATATAAGGGAACGTGTTGATGTCTTGGTCAAAAGATATAATATTTTGACATCGCTTAAACAAACAGAAGGAGTTCAGTACGATGAGACGAACAACGTTTTCCATGCTTCAAACAACAAATGGCATCAGTTATTCAATGTGAGTTTTATAATGATGTAAGTTTTGGTTTGTTACTCCTACATTTGACTTGCAAAGTTAACTACATCTTCATTTCTCATGTAGTGGGATGAATTTTCACTGGCGTACATGCAGGAAGGTGATCCCCACCATGCAAATATTGTCGAATTGTTTCACGTGGAGCCACCGTACATATCTCCTTTCCAATATTATGTTTTGTCTGACAGTGACGATGAAGGCAATGTGACATCAAAAAAAGGCCACGACAAAGGTGTTGAAATTATTGATGTGGAGGAATACACCCCAAAACCTAAGGCTCCAAGTAGGCTAGTGTCTTACCCTGTTCGCACGGACATCCCACGTAAAAAACAACCACCACGTCCGGCGTTTTATCTGTCTAGTACCTCAAAGGTCCCAAAACAAAAGCAATCCACACATAGTCAGACTGGGTCAACTGATGGATCTGTCAATGAACCTCCAATCTACAACTCAAATCAGAATCGTGCGAATGAAGCGGAAGCAAGTTCTACGTCTACTGCATTCTCTGCCACACCCATGGATTCCACTTTTGATTGGCCGTGGAACTAGCTCTGTCAATGTATTCGTTGTCCTTACGTTTGTATTGGGTTATCTCGAGATGTCGTCAACAAATATGTTTGTTATGTTTATGTTTGTAGCACGTAGTAGTCGTTGTCTTTATGTGTGTACTAGTTTATTTAGAGATGTCGTCAAAAGCATGTTGGTTATGTTTATGTTTTTATCACGTAGTAGTTTAGTCCTTTTCGGTCCAGTTCTTCCATTATCACGTTGTAGTTTGAATTGTAAGACATCTTCGTTGGTTATCTATGTACTATTTATCTTTATGTAAGTGTTATCGATGTTTTTTTATGTCCTTTAATATTTGTGTTCAATTTGACAGTGTTACCAAAGATTAATAAACCATAATGTCTCATTCAAAACATGTCTCAATATAATACCATAAAATACTACCACAATTCATGTTCCTACACGAGTATCTTAATAACACACATCCTACATATACTAACAAAAGACATACAAATAACAAACAAAGTTGTACAATGTCTTTCAAACTAGGACATAGATGCTACACACATATTTTCACCACCCTAAACCTACAATTGTGGCCCGTCTGGCATGTCCATGTGTAAGTCGAAACACCCCATGGGTAATCGGCCATCGTTAAAGTAAACCTGCACTGAGCAAGTATGAACAAACTATAATAACATATGCTGTATCACGAAAAATAAACTACATAATAAAACATAGAGTAATAACCACCTTAATTAACCATTCGATGCAATCCAACAAAATACATAGTATTATCACCATTCTTACACAAACAAAATAGAAAGTAATTTACCCATTCGAACACACAGAATAACTAGAATTTGCCAACACATAACCCACAAAACAACATAACAACAACTTCTATCCAAAACAGTCATAATAAGCCAACAAAACAGTCATAATAAGCCAACAAAACAATATGCTACATTTTTATATCACAAAAACTACCCGCGCCCATCGCGCATCACCCTAACCATCGTCGCCCTATCTCCTTCCCCTAGGGCCAAGAGCATAGCAAGCTCCCTCTGATTGTTGCACAGGCGCAAGCATATGATCATTCTCTCATCTGATGATAGAAAGTCGAAAGTACGTAGCCCATCAAGTATCTATGTCATCTGGGCCTGTGCAGCTTGCTCGCTACCCATCCTGGTCGCAATCTCAGCCAACCGACCATTTGTGTTATGAGAAAAAGTTTCCATTACCTCAATGAAACAGTAATCCATCTGGTTTGACGAACTCCTTTTCTTGCCTTTATTCCTTCGCCGTCCCATCGAGCTGCTTTCCGAGGCCGTACCTGATGTTTGGCCGACATCAATGCCTGGGCTTAACGTCGACTGCGTGGCCTATGGTTGAGCGACATCTTCTTCCGATGACGGGGGGTTTTCAAGGACATCTCGAGCCGCATCTCCGAATGCTTGGGCATCTTCACCAGATGCTCTGTCTTTCCCAAATATTTCATACCAGTCATCGATGTACGGAAATGACTTGTTTCTTAGGCCCATCGCATTCGGATCAACCTGTTTGTAACATATTTTGAAACAAAAATGTACCTGGACATGTGAATGAAGTCAAACATAGCAATCGGTGTTGAACGTTGGATTGTTTAAGTAAAAGCTAACCTTTAGCCACGCAGCCCACTTTTCATCATCGCACGAGAATGATTTTATAATATCACTCCAACCAGTCCCGAGTTACCTCTAATAAGGGCAACGCTCCCATAATTTTTCTTCCAAACATGCATCTTCGAGGTTATATTTGGATCAGCTCGAAGGTCACATCCAAGAAGAAATGACTTAATTTTCTTTTCCAGCACCAATGCGTAGCCCGTCCTAAAGCCGTTGTATGTTCTCCATCCCTCAAGGACAATCTCCTTAAGAGCATTAACAAGGGCAACCTCTTCCGCCTTAGTCCAAACACGACGTCTTGAGCTAGAACCGCCCTTTCTTCCAGTATCCGACGTCATTGATGGATCCATCGCTAACCTGTACTAACAATATTGTTCGACCAATTTGTGCTTTTTATATATTTTTTGGACATTTAAAAGGTAAGTAGATGGAAAAACCATAACAAGAAATATAGATAAACCGCACAATAAGGAAATAAATAGTAACTGTCTACGAACAAAAAAATGTTTATTGTCCATAATAAAGCCAACAACATCTTAAAAAACATGAAATGGAAATAAAGTTTACTAACAACATATCACAATCCCGCAATTTGAAAATATCCTTATAAGTAGTACAAACTTATCTAGGCACAATTCATTACTGTTTATCTGTTAAGTACACCTCTCTGCCATTCGCTAAACATTTGTTGGGCTAAGTGGTCCCGCTTTTGGGACCATTCCTGGCTAAATTCAACTTGATCTATGAAGTCGTCGTCAGACGTTAGGTTTGAACAAACAGGGAATTCTGGGATTTGATGCTCTATGGGGTCTTCGGGCATTGACACATGTATGAAATTGTGAATGAGAGTGCACGCCATGATAATGCAATGTTGGGTCCGAATGGGATAAAAAGACTTACTCTGAAGAATAGCTCAACGCATTTTTAGAATGCCAAATGCACGTTCAATCACGTTTCTAGCTTTGGCGTGCCGAAGATTGTACAGTTCTCTAAAATTTTGTGGACTGCAGGACCCTGAACCCCATTCATCTAAGTGATATCTCACACCCCTATATGGCGCTAGAAACCCAGGACCATTAGTGTAACCACCATCCACCAAGTAATAGTTTTCTGTGTTACAAACGCATGTTAGTCTTTAATATGTTAAATGAACAAGAAAGTGTTTTCAGGTGGGTGGTGTTTACATATGTAATGGTTATAAATATAAGTAATACAATACCGTTTCGGACCCGTAGAGAATGTCTCCTAGTGACTGCATCTCTCAGTACTCGATTATCTGCGGTTGAGCCCTCCTAGCCACAAACCATGTACACGAAGTTCAAATTTCTATCGCACACACCAAGTACATTAATTGACACTTGACCCTTCCGATTCCTATATCGTGGCTTATCTTTAGACGGGACTCGAATGTCAATGTATGTACCATCAAGTGCTTCTAGACACCCCTAACGAAAAAAAAAAAGTTGTGTCAGTTTGGAAGAAGTACGATTGCAAAAAATGACTAAGTCTTCTTAAAGGTGGCATGAAAGTAGGTTACCTTGAACCATTTTCACCTTTCGTCTAAACAATCATCCTCAACTGGCTTAGGTGTGACGGCTAGGATGGTGTAAAGGTGGATTACCGCATCAAGTACACGATTAAAGTACTTGCTTACCGTTCTACCTGATCTCGTAAAATCAAGCTTCAGTGTGACGTTTTTCTTGTGATGTGCGAGGATTGAAAGAAACATAGCAACTTGTTCACTCGGTGTAACGTTTCTTGATGGAACAAGACCCCCTAAATTTCAAGTAGGAAGCAAAGGCGGCCAAAACAATTTCTGTCCATACGGAGGTTTTCAAGGCAAGTGGTGTCGCTGACATCGATTAGCCTTTGCATGTGACTCACTTGAAGGGGAAGTCGATCCCTCAATCGGTATGTGAGTCGGCTATTGTACGAACGTCGACGACGGCCAGAGATTATGAATTTGTGGTAGTAGTAATTAGCTACTATAAAAAAAAAGAAATTGAGCTCCAAGAACGATCTCTTCCAAAACCGTCAGAATTAATAAATTCTCTCGAACGTTATCCATCTACAAAGTTTGGTAAACATGATCTACAAACTCGTACAATGATCTTAATGTTGACCTATACCCACTTTCGGAGTTACCATTGAAGCTCCACATTTTCAGTTGGTACTATGTCTACAGTATATATTAACAAATATAGGCCCCATGCACCCATACATCTACTTACATGAATTACCTTCAAGAACCCAAAGACATAATATATATGCATGATTGTTTAAATCCTTTGGATTGATTATATTGTATTTTGAGCATATACAAAAATGAATCATATATCAGCCTTTCAACCTAATTTATGTTACCTATATTTATCGTATACCAAAATGAAATCAACTAATTAATTTTGCTGAATGAATATGGAAGATAATGACATAGATAGTGAAATTTAAAAACCATAACACAGTAGTGCACATAAAACTCACCAGCAAGCAGAAAATTTCAAAGCACAGCACACTTCACACAAGTTGTATACATTTGCACATAGATGTAACCATGTGCACAATTGGTAGAAGAAAAAAAACAAATTTAAAAAAAAAAAGATGAAGGAGAAAGGAAAACAAAGAGACAGAGAAAGTATATCATAGAAATATCAGAATGTCAAAGTAAAGGACAAAGCTTCTCATGTAAATAGACTGTATTTAGCAACAAGCTGTTGAATAAAAATGTATTGGTACTTTAAAGCCAATGTTAAGCCAACATATACCACAAAACTTCTGCACAAGTGAGCACACATTCAATAAACACCACCAACATCAACATGTCTTGAGTCCTTTATTATATATATATATCATTCATCAAATATCATGCTAAGGACAATTAATACTTCAGTATAGGGTGTGAAAGGACCATAGAGTATAATGGAGAACAAGTTCATGCTAATTTGAAGGCAATGTTAAACCAACCAAGACAAAAAAACACCTCTAATTCAGAAGCCAGTCAATTATTTTTCACCTAATTTAGGTTACGTATATGTATTGTATACCAAATTGAAATCAACTAATTAATTTGGCTAAATGAATTTGGAAGATAATGAAAAAGAAAGTGAAATTTATTGACTATAACACACAGTATTTGTAACTTCTAGTCCAGGAAAATAAAATGGACAGCCTCTTCAATGATGAACATGAAAATATAACAGGACAGCCTCACAGCTTCAAATGGACTTTCACCCCATCACACAGATTAAAACTCACCAGCAAGCAGAAAACTTCAAAGCACAACACATTTCACACAAGTTGTACACATTTTCACATAGATGTAACCAGGTGCACAATTGGTAGAAGAATAAAAACAAATATTTAAAAAAAAATGAAGGTCAAAGGAAAACAAAGAGGCAAAGAAACTATATCATAGAAATATCAAAATTCTGCACAATTGAGCACATAGTCAATAAACACTACCAACACCAAAATTTATGCAGCAGGATGAATACACACAACCATAACAACATGAGGCATTATAATAAGGATAACAAATGACAATGGGAGAGCACTAAAACTCAGCAATTATATGTACAACTGTTTTCATAGAGTAATCATATCTCATTTCTATGAGGTAAAGCACACATATATAATGCATATCAACAAAGATGGATAAAACAACACCAACAAGGATGGATAAAACATCTATAATCACACCATGCAAAGCACCAGGATAGATAAAACACATATATTATCTGAACAACTGTTTTAAAGACCTTGAATTAAAGCACAAATATAACAACTATACTGCATAACATGTAACAACATGGATGGATAAAACAACACCAACAAAGATAGCAAAACATACATTCAGTCCTTCATCATATGTATCATTCATCAATTATAATGGTAAGGCCAATAAATACTTGAGTTCAGGGTCTGAAAAGACATTTTTTTTTTACAACAGAATAATGGAGAACAAGGTCATGCTTATTTTAAGGCAATGTTAATCCAACAAATACCACAAAACAACTCCAATTCAGAGCCCAGTCAATTAAAGTTTTCAATAAGCAAGAACGATATCACAAAACCTTACCAATTGTGCAATCCCTAGCCAAAAAATGATTAACTTCAATACCCATGCAGATGACAGAAAAAAAAACAAAGACAGCAGATAAAAGGGGCAGTAAGATATAATAAAAAATATTACCTATAGACTGATGCCAAGACTCCTTAACAACTCTACAGATTAAGCTTCATAAAAAAAGGATAAAAAAATAAATAAATAAAAACAAATTCAGAAATCGAATTAAAAAACATAAACAAACATAAATAAAAAAAACAGTTTCAAAAATAATTCCCTGGAATGGTAAAGTTTACCTTCACCCTCAACGAATATCGAATAAAACACATGCCAGATTCACTTTTCTTTCAGGCTAGGGTTCCTGTGAAAAAATATAGACATACAAAAAACAAATTACCCAACCAAGAATCAAACCTAATCGACAGAGTGAGGATATACTGGCTGCAACAAGTTGAAATAAAAAATAACTAGATATTCCCCTGCAATTATTAGCTACATTCCAAAATGGGCTTGTTCATGACACAGACTACAAATGGGCTCCAATCTAAATGACACTATATTGATATTGAATGCGTGTACATATTATTGTTCACAAATTAAACTAACTGAATATGAATCTTCTAAATCAAACATTTTAGCAACAAAAAATACTTCCAATTCAATATGTCTAGTTAAACATACATAGTTGTGATGCTGAAATCGATTAGATTTTTTTTTTTTTTGTCTATTATGTTGTTTTTTCAGAATATGAATTCTGTAGTGATGAACATCTCTAACTTAATGTGACTAATAGTTTGTCAAAAGCATGGAAGAAAGGTTTTCAAATTTTGGGGTGTGATAAAAGCCAGATTATTCAAACTTTTCACAGGCTGAACATGGGCGAAAGATCGAGTTTGTGCACATATAATTGAGCGGGCAAATAAATTACGAAAAAAAATTTGTGTGAGTAGATCTACTTGATTAGGCTGCAATTTTGTGAGTACCGACTGTCTCAACGAGTTAAATCCAAATGTGGGTCACCCGAATGAACAAACGTTGGATCACAACAGAATATTCCATACAAAGTAACAATGAATTTGGACGGAAAATTAAATAGGTAACTCCAACTGGATAAATAATTTTTTTCGTATACGACTGTCTTGATGAGAAAATCTATCAAAGAGTCAATTATTTGAGTCTGTACCTTCAGGCCCGGCGAAATCGCTGCAACGATGCTGCTTCTCCCCCAAAGTTGTAAAAGAGTGATGATGAGCCAGCGTAGGGTTTCACAGAGTGAGGATGTTTATATTTT